AACTATAGGGATCATATCCGTGAATATAATGCTGCTCTTGCTTTTGAAACATTTGGAGTGCAGATAAACCCTTCTGGGAATGGACCATATTGTTTCCGCATTCATGGTCAGATTTATCACATGGTTTCTCCGCTGTATGCAAATGATAGTAACAAATGATGCTGGATATGGGCAATTGTATATTTTCGATTCCAGCGAAGCTACTGACAGATGCATGGATAATAACAGTGGATGTTTACAGTCTGTGAAGGAGCAGTTAGATTATTTATTAAGACAAATAAATCCTTTTGTTCCATCATACCGGGGTGCTATTCTCAAAATATCGAATTGTCTCACCAGAAATTGCATTTCGTCTCAGTTAAAATCTCTTTTTGGCTCAGTTTGTCTCAGCTAAAATTATTTTTTGACTCAGTTTATCTCAGCTAAAATGACTATTAATCAGTTTGATAACAATATGAAGACAATTTTCAGGATCCATAAGACCATTAATAGCATACTAGGAGTATACTACAATTATACATACATTCACTATTGCTAGGATTAAAAAAAAACCTGCATATGATTGATTATAAGAGTCCACAAAATTGTTTTGTGGACTCTGTTGTTTTCATATATATTGCATTTATCATTTATGCCAATGAATAGTATCTGTTCCAAAATTTTACAAAGTAAATTTTAACTTTCTTATTTTTTAAAATATAATGGTGTAACCTTTTCTAAAAAGAAATATCTATTTAGTTTTGGTAATTCAACAGGGAAAATACCCATTTTATTTTGAGCTCAAATTTCATCTCAAAATATATAACTATTCAGTTACAATGGAAGGTCTACAGATTTCAATAATTAAAAGAGAAATTCAGTAATTAAATAATGAGTACGGTATATAATGAGTAATTAAATATTAAATAATGAGTCAGTAATTAAATAATGAGTATAATGAGTAATTCAGTAACTGAATAATGAGTATAGTAATTAAATAATACGAGTTTAAGAAAATGTAAATAACACAAAAAAAACTACTCTTTGATAGAATTCAGGAGGTGCAGTGAAATTTTGAAATATTTTAGGTAGGAATTTTTCAAGAAAATTTTAGGAAGCACTTAATAGCCAAAAATTAGCATATATGTATAAATTTTTATATCAAAACAGAAATATATAAAAACTATTATAAACAATTTAAAAAGACACATATAAATATACTTTTCTTTCTTAAATGACTTGTATCCTTTATTAAGTATAAAAGTAAACTTTTTAGTTAATTGGCATTGACTAGTAGATTGTACTTTCTTGCATTCACAAAATCAGTTAGTTGACTATGTTCTTTTAATTTATATAGCTAAATATACAATCATAAAATGTAATTATAAATGCACTTAGTAATTGTTTAAATGCGCAGAGATGAGAGTAGTCAGAAAGTAAAAAAGAGGAAATCCTAGAATATATAAATATATATATATACGAAAATTTGACAAAAAAGTGCAATTTTTAAACTTGTAAACCATGTGATTATAAATCCCGATATGAGGCTTTTAAATCTACAATGAATGAATCGAATATGAAACTCTACATCGAATTTAAAAAATGGGAAAATACAAATCATGATGCGTAATTTTTAGATCACGATGCATAATTTAAAAATCGCGTGATATTACAACCGCAAAAACGAATCACAGCATTGGATTTTAAGCTCGCGTAGCTACAAAGGGTTTTAAAAGCTCGTAAATACAAATCGCGATATTGGTTTTTTAAATCTCGTAAATAAGAATCGCAATGTACAATATTTAAATCGCCTGAATACAAATTGCAACGCTCAACTTTTAAATCAGGTAAATACGAAAATCGATGTTTGATAATAAAATCGCGACTTTAAATTTAAAACTCTAACTCTCGTTTGTATTTCTGAAATTTCTTTTTGTGCAAGGGGACAGTAATGACAAACTAGAAAACCACCATTATTTTTTTGAATTTCAAGATATATTTTTTCTTAACTAATACCATTTGCACTTTAATAATTTAAAAACATAATAGATATTGCTTTATGTTGGAGAAAGTTGAAGAGAGATGTTTGTTTGTTAATTGTCGACAGGATTTGAATTCAAAACCTCTGGAGTGATAATCTGATGTTTTAACCACAATAGAAAAGGGTGTACACCCTTATACAGTGGAGACTAGTTGTTTGCTTTACATTTTAAAATATAATTTTTACTTTTCATCTAAACTGTTTATGGTTTAGAAATGGTTAGATACATAATTTTATTTTTTGCATAATTTTACTCCTCGTGCCTGTGAAAAATAGAACTTTCCATGTAATTTAATAATTTCTATTTGATTTTCTAAATCAAACTATAGCTAGACACAAAACAGAATGTTTTCATAACTATATAAACACTTGTAAGTAGATTATTTTAAACTTATTTTAATATTAATAACAGTCATAAATTTGCTCTAAAGATTTAAAATTTTGTATTCAAATGTTTACTAAATAATGATCTTTTTATCAATAATAATTTTCTTTTATTATTGTTCAAAATTTGACAAATATGAAGCTAAATATATAATAAAATAACCAAATGAATCAAACACATTAAAAGTTTTTCAAATTGTAAAATAATTATAGACTCTTAGGTATTTACTGTCTCCTTTGGGTGAATTTTAGGTAGGGACAGTGATTACAAAATGATAGATTTCAACAGGTAGAGGAAAAACTTTCATTTCTTTAATTAAACCATCCATATTTAATAAAAGTAAATTTTTACAATTTGCAAAAAAAAATATTTACTTGCTTGCAATTTCTAAGAAAAAAAATCAGGGGACAGTAATTATATTCAATGAAGTTCCCCTAAAATTTTTAAGGTGAAATTACACTTATTGACTCAAAAAAAGAAATAGTACAGAAATTAAATTTTACTGTTCTGTAGAGAAGAATATTTTTTGTAAACTACAAAGTGCAAAGTATATTTTATTCAATTAGAGCTATCTAAAATATTATGTTAGCACTTTTCATACTTGGGACAGTAATTACACAAAAGTTGGAGACACATACAGCATGTGCAGAACAAAATAAAGAAATTATTCTAAGAATATCGATTATACATATTCAAGCAGACAATCATACTATATCAGAATATGTATACATTTATCTCTTGTAACACTTTCATAATCTAGTAAATTACTTTAAAAAATCATAAATGTGTGTTGGGGACAAAATAGTGACATTTTACCTACAATATATATATATATTTTTTTAAATATAATTTAAATACAAAATGTGTCTGATGCATAGTTTCTTTTAATCATGGTGAGTATTTCAAGCAAAACATAAAATTAAATAACAATAAATATTTTAATGAGAATATATCACTAAAGGACGTTAAAGTTAATTAATTGAGAAAATCACCCACATATTTATTTCGATATAAGACAAACCTCACATTGCAAAAAAAAAACTTCTTGGTTCAAGAATTTGAGAAATTACTTTCAATTGCCATTTTTTATTTATAATGGTGTTCAAGTAAATAACAAAATAAGTTTTTCTATTGGCGACCTAAAATTGAATAAATTAACTTATGCTGGCAGGATTTAAATAAATTGATACAAAATATGATACCAAAGAGTCATAAAATACAACCTAAGCAAAACATGGGAAGACTTAGTAATTGTGATCTGCAGCAGAATAATTGCTGCAGATCACAATTACTAAGAATTGAATAATTAATAATATATTCGTAATTTCCAGGCAATGGCCAGAGAGAAACTAAAAAAAAGCACTACAGAAAAGAACAAAAACTCAAAAGGAATAACTTGTAACCAGCCTAAGTCAAATCTGCACATGCTTTTTCTTTTAAAGTGCAAGTTTGAAATAGATTTGGCATCTTGGCCATTGTAAATTGTAATCAACACAGATCACAATTTAGAAATGTCCCCAAAAATTATAATGGCTAAACTCAGCATAAGCTAAATTCAGAAGAAGAAAAAGTAACTAATTTAGATTTCATTGTTAAATGAAATTTATCAACATTATAAAAAGAAAACTAAGCTATATATATTCCCGTGTTGTAAAAAAATTTGAAAATCAACAAATTCACACAAAAGTTAAACCAGATAAAACATACCTAACTTCAAGTTATGCATAATTTAACTCAAAGCAGCAAAAACTGTCACTATTTTTTTTTTAATCAGGTACCCTTAAATATGATATAAACTTGATTATTGATATAAAATTGGTTATTTTTTTAATTAATTTATAGAAATACTTTACCTCAAAATTTTTATCAAGTCATTATTAGCTGATAATTATTTCAGCCATACGTGGCTTATAATTATCACTAAACCTATTACATGTTAAACAATATTGTTAAACAGCCAACTCAACTAACTTCCAACCATTTTTCAGGGAGATTTCCGTACCCTGATCTGTGGCAAAATAATTGCCAAAATTTGGCAAATTCCAGGCAGCGGCCTGAGAGAAAAAAAAAAACATCACAGAAAGGGACCAGCTCGAAGGATATAACTGGTATCAACCCACGAGCAAACATCTACAAGCTTTTATTTAATTTTTTCCGTTTAAAATCAATTTAGAGCCTTGGCAATTATGAATGGCGTGGCAGACCACGATACTGAAATATCCACCAACAGAAAACAGGTATCATAAATTATAAATCTTCATAAGGTATCATAAATATAAACAGGTATCATAAATTATAAATCTTCAGATTTAAGAAAGAAAAAAAAACTATTATTTTTAGTTATACACGGCCAAATGGAAGTATATTAAAATGTTGAGTCGAAACACAAATGTTCTTGCTTTTCAGCAAAACACGATGACTTCAGGAATTCAAGAATGTGTCACAAGGGACATTTTTTGTAATTAAAAAAGAAAGGCTTACAAAAAAGGAATTATTTTGTTATCGGTAACTGTTCCAATTTTACATGAGCCAAAATATTATTTTAAGAATAATTTCTTGTTTTTAAAATGATAAAAAAAGAGACATTTGCTTTACTTTCTTATATTAACTTTATCGTGGAAGTATTTATTAGTATATAAAATCAACTTTACTTCAAAACTACCTTCAAAGAATTTAAATTTCGAACCTTTTCCTTTTGTTATTGATCTTATTTAATTTTGGAATTCAAGTCATGGTTCCAGCAATTCAGCTACATAAAAAAGTTAGCAGCACTTAATGTGTAAAGAGCCATTCCTACTGGATTCAATTTTTTCGCCATCGAACGAACACTGATTGGAAAGTTTTTGTTAGATAAATAATTTCCTCCAATCTGTTGGTTCTCCTTCACCCGCATAAAAAAACTTCAGCTAATGAGAATGGTATGTATCTCCGATTACCTCCAATCACAATGCAGGGCTAATACAAGGGCTAGACTATGACACTATAAATACTTTATTTCAAAACCCCTGTTCAAAACGTTCAGTTTTAACTTCAATTA